AGGGGCTTTCTTAACACACAATCACACAAAGAGGAGTTCATATTTATAGAATATTCTTCGACATCAGCCACTGATTATAGAGTTAGGAATTATATCTATATTTATGTTCAATTATAGACTAGTTATATTTATTTTTAATTTTTTTTTTTTACATCCATTCTCTAACACTCTATTCATATTAACATATATGACAGGTTTTCATTATATGTTGTTGTTGTTGTTGTTTTTTCCACAAGTAAAGCTTCAGGACAAAGACTTGTGATTATATACAAGGGGAGAGAGAGGGGGAGAGAGAGGGGGAGAGAGAGGCGTATTTACACAAGGGGTGAGTGAAGAAATGGACGTTATATAAACAAGTGTCCTGCCGACCTCTTGACCTCCGTCACTGTTGAGAGGGAGATCTTGAGCTGAATGGTTGTTTTTTTTTTTGTTTTTTTTTCAATAATTTTTTTGTTAATAATACACGTCATAACTCCTGTTACTGTAGTTCTGGTCGTCAAATGAATATTTAATTTTTATAACGCAATAACGTAACTTTTTTCTTTAACAATTTTAACAAACGCCTAGCATTTAATTACATTAACGTCTTGGGCCATCGGTCATACCATGACAGTACACACTCTAGAACAGTAGGTGGCAGTATTCCCCCAAAATACATTGGTTGTGACCCGCTATTAAACCCAGACGTCAGGTCCCTACGTGGGCTAGGAGACGTTCAGGAACTTGGTTTGCGATCACGGTTGAAGTACTAGTTTAGGTGATGTACTAGTAAAGACAAAGTCGGCCATTTATTTTTAACTATGAAGTAACTGACCAATAAAAACACCCGTCTGTTCCCCTCCCTAATCACCATGGAACGATGAAGAGAAGTATGTACAGTAACAATACTGGTCATTTAACGCCACCTACTGGTCGTATCGATAGCTGGAAATAAGTTGGAAGTTCAAACCAAAAGTGAATTAGAACGGGTTCTGACTTTAAGGTATATTTGTTCTGGAACGTTCACTGCTGACAGCGATATATATTTATACATGTTATATATTTATATTCAGTCCGACTGATACTGTACACCGGGTTCTTTAGTCCGATCGTCGACGATTGTCTCCTGATTTTCTCTCCGTGTTCGTTGTCGTCGGTTTGTTTTCCAGATTATGATACGTTTTTGTTTCACTCCGATTTACAGCAGCTTTTAATTTATTTTCATAGAAATATATTCTACCGAACAGCCCGCAGGAGGCGCCGCTGTTAGGTGCAAATCAAGCTACATAAAAAAAAAAAAAAAAAAAAAATCAATCAATGTTGATTTTCTTTAAAAGTGCAAATAAATCTGGCAGGAAAAAAATAAAAAGGACAAATCCACACTTTTGCACAGCAATAAATTCGACCGCCTACAGTAACAGGTCGACTGTACTTCACCACGATGGTTGATGGTTGTTTCTGTTTGTTCTGATTGACAGACAGATGTGAATATAATGAATGATAGAGAAAAGAGAAGAAGAAGAAGAAGAAGAAGAAGAAGAGGAGACACGTGGACACGGCCGTGGAGCTACGGTGAGAACTACGACGCCAGATGACAGCCAGGGGGAGCCGGAGAGAGCAGGGACCAAGCCATGTCAACAGCTGTCGATTGCAGTTTTTGCTAT